GGGGGGGGGTTGAGATCGAAAATAGAATGTTTATTTACTTCATTTCCAAAGAATACTAAACAGCATTTAGGTCAATAAACCCTGGTTTAAACACACGTATATTGCCAGGTTGGTGAACGGGTTCAATCAGTCAACGATACAACGTGTAGGGGCGATGAAAACCATCAAGGCAGCCAAGCAGTCCTATCTGCTCAACATTCCCTTCATCATCGTCTACAACTTTATCCTTGTCGTAGTGGGCAATATAATCTACGCCTACTTTGCCCACAAACGGTGCGATCCTTACGAGGTAAGAAGAAAGAGAACAGTTAAGTAGCGAATTCTTTTTTATCTCACATACTCCTGTGGAAATCCTTTGATTTTTACTCATCCATATTAACAAATTTTATTAAACTCATACGCATCAAAAAGACATTCAAAGCACCTCGAACCTTGCGTGACAGTATGTCCTGCGAGTAGGTCAGAGCTGTTCTTCACCATCTACAAACGACTCTAGTCTAGGCATCCCACGATTGGTCCACTGGGGAGGGGAGGGGAGGGGCAATGATTGTGCGTACTGTAGATCATTCTTTGCAATAGCATGTGCAGTATGACCTATCGGAAACACGGTGTCACTTTTGGGTCCCCAATAAGAGACCTTTTTTACCCATACAACAATCCTAGCACGTGTTCCAGGCGCGTTCAATGCCTGGTTCTGTTCCATGGTTCTACGAATAATTAAGAGAAAATGTGCGAAAGGACAGCGGGGGCTGTTTGAAAATAAAAAAATGAACATGCATTTTCAAGTACTCGAACTGGCTTACCCTACTACTAGCTCTGATTTAATTTTTATCTCCAAATTTTGATCTCATCTATAGAGTACGCACTGTGCCAGTAAGCTAGTAGACTTAGCCAAATGTAGCTCTATAGCTACAGGAGCGTGTTGACGATGGAGAGAAAAAGAGGGGAAGGGGGAAGGGGTTTCTTGTACATGTATCTCCGTCCGTCTCTCTTTCTGCTTTCCACCTTCTCCTCATCCCCTACACCCCCCCTCTCTCTCTCTCTCTCTCTTTCTCTCTCTCGCTCTCCCCCTCTCTCTCTTGCTCTCTCTTTATCTGTATGTATGCATGTGTTTTGTATATTAATACATGTATTATATATATACTCTTTTCATGTTCATATATTATATATGTAGCGTTGAAGAAAAGTTAAATTTTACTGTATGTGTTTTACAACCCTGTTGACACAATTTAGATCATTTAGGGGGCGGGGTTCCGACTGTGCATGCCAGGGCCAACCTGGGCTGATAGGAATACTCGATAAAATTATCTCCACTTGGGAATCGGACTCGGGTCTCCTGCATGAGACAGAGGGAGAGGATCCCCTGCTACACGATAGAAACCGGAATGCTTTCTCTCTGTTTCTCTCTCTCTCTCTCTCTCTCTCTCTCTCTCTCTCTCTCTCTCTCTCTCTCTATCTATCTCTATCTATCAATCTCTCTCTGTGAATGTGTGTGTGTGTGTGTGTGTGTGTGTGTGTGTGTGTGTGTGTGTGTGTGTGTTCACGAGCGTGTGTGTGTATATGTGTATCTGTTGTCCCATCTCTGGTGCAATTCAAGCAATAGTTCTCGACAGTTACTGTTGCATGATCGATATCACATTTGAAAGTAAGTGAGTTGAAACATGCAGATTACATCTCACATAATGTACAAAAATCTCATCGTCGAATGTCAACAATATGATGGGATGCAATTTTCCCTGAAACTAAACTGCACTTGGACGGTATGTAGACTTTAAAAGGGCCTGTCATGTGTGTCTGTGACCGACAAAAGGAAGGATGAACGACATAGCAGTACATTTGCAAGGACGAGAACATTGACGCCGTTCGGCGCTCTGAGAAGGCCACGCCAAAGACATCTGTACGTCGTCGCATTCGGAGTGTTGAGCTCCACCTTTCATAAATTTTTGTTTACAGAAATGTTGAGACAAAATTTCGATTTGAACGCATGTCATAGTTTGATATACAAAGGTATTTCAAGTGAACACACCAGGGAACGGATCAAAATGTGTCGATCGTTTTTGAGGTGTCGTGCTAATAATAGGCCTTTTCATTAATGAAAAGAGTGGTTTGGCAATGAAGTCCACTTTTTTTTCCCCCTTGCCCATTTATATGAGATTGACGCCATCTGATTAGTAGAGAAAAGTGCATATGATTGTGTCCAATAGAGTATTACATGCATACTTAGTATATCAATTAACTGTAATAGCGGATAGAGATTCCAGGATTATAGATGTAAGTCATTGATCTGAGAGAAGTGATGATTAACATTAATAGTGGTGATGAGTGATGATGAGGGATTTCGTTTAAGTACTGTTAGCGTTAGTCCTATCTTCCTCTGCTTCAATGAGTCACGAGGGACGTGGGCACCCTCTATCCCGTTCCCTACTGGAACCATCTTTACGGTCACCATGAAGTTCCGAAATGGTGGGCTCAGTCTCTGCTAAGGTGACATCGTTAGTGTTAGCCTATTCTATCGGGCCAAGACAAGTGTAGAGAAGAGCTAAGTGGGAAGACAGTATAGTGGCAGGTATGTTGGGGGTATTTGTAAGCGGGTTGTAAATAGCAAGTTGGCAGATTATGATCTTTACAATTGCAGCATTCTACTCCCCGCTCCTTTGCCCCTAGTAATCTTTTCGAGTCCGATTGAGCTTGGAGAGATTCTGACGCAGGATCCTCGAGCCCAAATCGAGAGGGCACAATTTACACAGAATATTGTATCCCCCTCGCCTCAGGGGGAGCGACCTCAAACTCCCGATGAAGTCCACTTCTATCTGAACGGAGACGTGAACCTAAGAAATCACATTTGCTGGAGTTCAGAAAAAAACAGACAACGTCGTGTACCGAAACCTGCACACACACACAAACAAAATGCTACAGCGTGGGTTGAATCGAGTCACTACAGATTAATTGGTCCGGGCTGATTCATGGTTGAAGACGATGGTGCTGTAACAGTGACAGCAGATCGTTGTTTGAAGATTTTGAACCTGTTGCGAAGATCACTGAGAAAATGCGGAAACATCAGTCGTTCAGGCAAGAGGGAGTAGCTCTGCACACTGCAGCTGTGATCATTGAGTGGAACCAGAATCACTTCAACTAAAGTCGCGGGATACGTTGTGTCAGAACTTGATGGTATTCCAACCTGAGCCCATGGACTTCCAATCATGGGACTGCCTTAGAGACTTAAAGATTAGATGTGTGGTCAGACTTTTTCTCTCCTTTGTGAACTGAGGTAAAACGTTAAACATCTTGCTCGACAAAATCTGCGTGAACAGTGCCAGAAGGCAATAAATCACGTTTCAACGCCGAGCAAAGGAGACTTGCTCTCGTGACTGCCGCCTCGTAGAGCACATTCTTTGACAGCCCAGAACTCCTGTACGAATAGTGGGACTCTCTTCTATGACTTTGTAAAACTTAATCCACAAGTAGAGTCCTCATTTTGCTAAATTAATTTAATGTGCTGTCTATGGCTTTTAAAATGTGAACACTTGTTTGAATTCCGTCAATATTGGGAAAAGTTTTACTCTCTTTCTCTCTCTCTCTCTCTCTCTCTCTCTCTCTCTTTCACACACACACACACACACACACACACACACACATACATGCACACATACATACATACATACACACACACCAACACACATAACCAATTAAAGTACATACACACGCACGCACGCACTGTGTGTTGATGTTTTCTTGGAATGTCACTAAATGATTCCTCTAATTTGTACGTAACTGGTCAAGGGCAGGGACTAAAGATTAATGAAGGTAGCCATGAGCCCCTGTTTCCGAATGCTAACTTCAGAAGAAAAATGTGCCAACGTTTTAAAAATATCCAATTTATCGCGTTCAAGGCAATGCATTTTTTTAACTTTGACGTTTTCCAATCTATTTTTGCGTTTTTCTCAAAAAGGACCTTTTCACTATGGTGGCCGCGCGGGGGAAATCGTTTTTCTGAAACTATCAGAGCTATATGCTTGAAATTTGGCTCACAGGTGCTGTATAAAACGTTCTGTGATCATGGGCGAGGATTTTGTGAAAAATGGATTATTTTCTTTTAATATTCCCGATTTTCTCTCATCATACTCGTTTTTTTCGATGCTGGTCCAGTGTAATATCAATATTTTTGTTGTTTTTAATTATAAGAAAAAAGTCAAAGCTTATGATCACAGATAATTTGTTTGTAAATATGTATGTAAAGTTTGAGGTTTGAATTTTAATATTTTCTGTGGAAAACGATTTCCTCCGCACCATGGCCAAAAATCCAAGATGACCGCCATAAAAACCAACTTTTTCATAAAAGTCGACAAATTCCGACATGATTCTTCTAATTAGTCTATAATTAGCCTATATTACCTTTAAAAATTGAAAGAAAGTGAAACCCCTAGAAAATTCCTCGTATCGTGTACATAACCCCTTAAAAGTAAGTCTTTCTTCTTCTCAGTCGTATACAGCTCTTGCTTGTTTGTTGTAGAGGTATGATCATAATGGTTAACCCCGTGGTCTGCCACTGAAAAAAAGTTCTCGTTTCACCGCCATTGTGGCAACCGGAAAAAGACTATATAGATCTAGAAGCAAAAAGGAAAGCTTTCCATGATAATAATAATATACCTTATGTCTGACACCTGGTGTTACTTTGAACCAGACTGTGTTTCCCGAGCTAATTCTTACACATCTCAAAGTATTTTTGCTATAGTGCTTTGAATTCACTAAGGAGTTGGTCTTTCACTCCATATTCTTCCACATTCTGCCACTGCCTGCCCCTGTCGACTCGGCCAGATGCCTTCTCTTGGTCCACAAACGCAACATCCAGCTCTCTGCTGTGTTTTATCTCTCTATTGTCTCTGTGCGAATGGACAGCGATAGAAGTTAGATAACTCGTAAAAATTAGTTGCACGATGTATCAATATGTTCATTCCCTTACTCTCTCCTGCTATTCTTCACAGTTAGTTCCTTGTATTTTTTCAAAAGGAGACCACCATCGAATCTAATAATGTACCCTTCCTCCTGAGAATGAAAATGATCTCATCCACATGGCAATCTGTTGTTCTCAACCTATATGACATTTTGAAATAGCTCACCGAGTCACGTTTCTAATGTTGATGAGGGTACTTAAATCATTTTTGTTTCCCATGTGACTTGGAGCAAGACCTTGGTACAAATTGGCATTTGATTATGAAAGGGTCGGATATGCATGTCCCAAAATAGCATTGGAACGAAGGAAAGTCGTATTTAGGTTGTTTGGAAACACTTTGCAGCTTTGCACTTTGTTGTATTGGAAAGGGACATTGTTTAGAAAGTGCTATTATTGTATACACCGAGTTGTGAAGGTGCATATTACCCACGCACAACAGAAATGTGGCAAAGCGCATACCCGTCAATATTGCCTTCCCGAGTGTTTACATATGAATAGCTGCGCGAGAGGCAAAAGAAGAAGTGACAAGTGCGTACCGTAAGATTATTACAGACTTCGAAAGAGAGGGAGGGGGGGGCGCTGATATAATGTTTGATCATGGAGATTATACTTAGAGAGAGAGAGGGGGGGAAGGGGAGCTGACACAGACACACATACACATAGACATATACATACACATACACACACACACACAGAGAGAGAGAGAGAGAGAGAGAGAGAGAGAGAGAGAGAGAGAGAGAGAGAGAGAGAGAGAGAGAGAGAGAGAGAGAGAGAGAGAGAGAGAGAGAGAGAGAGAGAGAGAGAGAGAGAGAGAGAGAGAATTTATATAAAATTATTGTCATCGTTATTCTTATTAGCCAATATTGTCATTATTTGTATCATCATTATATGATGATGCATCATCCTCATCATCATCATCATCATTATTATTATCATTATTATTTTTTTTTTAAATTATTATATTATTATTATTATATTATTATTATTACTATTATTACTATTATTATTATTATTATTATTATTATTATTATTATTATTATTATTATTATTATTATAAGGCAGGCTATATCAACAACAAGAACCAGATGGCGCCATTCTTTGTCCTGGACGCCTTGAACGATATGCCTGGGATGCCGGGCCTGTATGTCGCTACACTGTGTTGTGGCTCCCTCAGCACTCTCTCCTCAGGTAACTCTTGAGGGTTTTTTTTTTTTTTTTTTTTTTTTTTTTTTGCTTTTGTTTGTTGTTGTTTTTGTAAGAGTTTTGTTACAAGAGAATAAAGTAAAAGTAGAGTTGTTCCCGCATCCGACTCAGACATTGGGGATTGCCTTGTTAGTGAGACAACTTCCTGGGCCATCGGCATATTGTGGTACGGTGGTCAGTTCCTTTCCACGCCGCCTCTACTTCTCCAACTACGAAGTCAGGTACCCGTTACTGCTGGGTGGGCAGGAGGGGGCGAAATAAATTCGTGTCCGAACCGAGCCTCGAACCCGGACTTTCCGCTTCGGAGACGAGGGCACTAACCGCTCCGCCACCGAAACCAACAAGAGAGTAACAACCACAAAAAAGAAGGAGGAGAGATGAGGGTTATAAATGTTTAAGTTTAATTGGAAAGAAGGAGCAAATCACTCCAGAGCACCCGCCAGCCTCCCACAAGTAACTAACTCATCTCACACGTTTGTCTTTCCACCTTTAAGACTGGGGTTAAAGAATAGACCTGGAATTTTCATCTGTTTATTCTTTCACTTTTTGTTTTGTTTGTAAAGGGAACCTAGTCCAACTAGTTTGTGGAGTAGTTCGAGTTTATACCTCCTCCTCCTCATCATCATCTTCATCGGCATCATCATCATCATCATGTGCCAGATCTGCGACGGACATCGGCGATCATGGTCCTCCATTCATTCCTTTACTCGGATGCTCTAAAAAAAAAGCTGTACTATACTCATCCCCCCCCCCCCTCACCCATTTGTGTAGACTCTCCGAGTAGGTTGCTCTAGGTCTACCCCAGCCAAGTTTGCCTTCAATTTTTCCAGTGAGAGCTAGTTTATACCTCCTTGCACGAACAAATGGCAATTGGTTTTTTTATTATAATATTTCAATTGTTTATGTTTTATGCCTCCAACGACACAATTTAGATCATATAGGAGTGGGCTGCTTCGACTATGCATGTCACGTCCAAAAATACTTAGAGACATACAGTGTCCAAGCAGGCAAACTGAGATACTCTTTTAGAAAAATCCCCGATCGGAAATTAAAGTTACGTCTTCTGCTTGCGACGGCAAAGCACCTGTCCACAACACTTAATAGTGAGATACAGTTCTGTTTTATACTGTTTTGTTTTGACCTCGCTATAAAACTAGGAAAGTATCAATACTAATAGAAAACCAAGTTTGAAAGTGGAAACGTCCAAATGATGAAATAGCAAGCATTAATTTCTGTATCTGGATGTACATGTGCCTTATGCTCAAAATGCCTTAACACTAACCTACTTACTTTGCATTTGTAGGTATTTCAGAACAATCCATTTTGACTGTGTTTATAGAAGCAGAGGCTTAAGTATGATTATCTGAATACTCTATGCACTCCTTGATCAAATTCAACTACCAATTGTGGTTTTAGCCAGTGGTAACCGTGGAAACAGTCTATATATTTCTTATGTCACTTTTCCTATTTTTTATATTGTTTGTTCCTTCCTAGGCATTAACGCTCTAGCAGCAAACACCGTAGAGGATCTCTTCAGTCACCACTTGAAATCTTTCAAAGAGGGTACCGTAATTTTTATCACAAAAGTCGCCGTGCTATTTTTCGGATTTCTGATTGTTGGACTAGCGTACGGAGCCAAATATCTACAGGGCCCTGTCACTCAGATGGCTACTTCAATCTTCGGGGCGTGTGGGAGTCCAGTGCTGGGAATCTTCATCATAGGGGGATGTGTGCCTTGGGCGAACAAATATGGCGCTCTCGCTGGTTCAATTGTATCTCTGATCTTCAACTTCTGGGTCACAGTTGGAAATCGTATGTATGGACGAAAGCTTCCGGTACTGAAACCAGTTACGACAGACATGTGTTTTGGAAACTCGTCCTCAGTCGTAGCCAGTGGATTCAACATGACCACAACTGCGTCAATGATGCTCAGTTCTTCCCCAGGTGCCGGGTCTCCATCCGAGGGGAAACTGTTGGATGACAGCGCTTACGACTATGGTTTCTTCATGTACGATGTATCTTACGAGTGGTACAGTTTTATGGGGACGGTCGTGTGTGTCAGTATCGGGCTGACAGTCAGTTACATAACCAGGTCTCTAGATTCGGTGCCCAAGGGTACTGAACCTGCGCTTATCTTTCCGTTTCTACGAAGATTCTGGGGCTTGGAGGAAGAACCTAATATTCACAGAGAACTAAGAACTATTGAATTAGATATTGACACGAATGATACAGAAAAGCTTGCGCTGAACACAGATGCTCCTGAACTTGACATGGGGGAACAAGATGAAAAACTGCCACTCGAAGAGAATGATGCTGATGACAGCTGCAATGGGAAAAACCGACTAACCTAAACTTTTTGTAGAGGCTTTCATGTCCAATATAGGACGTACGTCTGTGTTAGTTAATCGTTTAACATTATTTTACTCCCGCATAATCAGAGCATCGTTGCTCATCTTATAAAATGGCGTATCGCCAGAACGACCGATTTGGGGTTAACAGCTCCATGGCATGTCTTGAGATGAGATCTATGTTTACTCATATCGGTGTATTGGTAGCTTTAAAATGGAGAAACTACATGTATTAGTAAATACATTTAGCCGCACAGCTCTCTGGCATGAAACTTAATCTCACATAAAGGCGTATGCCTTATCGTACCACTTGGAGAGAATGCGTATGATAATAAATTAACAGAACTGTTTCTAACATAGATGCGCACGATTGCGCACACCAATGTGTGAGACGTTTGATAAAATATTCTCAGACGTAAATGAGAGGACGTATTATTCACGTTTTGGAGTCTTGCTGGTCCATTCTTGAAGTATCATTGATAGATAGTAATGACGCTTGTGCGCTGCCTTTTTAATCAATTTACTCATATGAGCTCTAATAGTTTCCATGTCTCTTTGACGAATGAAAATAATGGAGAGTTATCAGATGAAGACGTATACTGGCTGATCTTTTGCCATATTAAAGAACATTTGTCAAAGGCGAATAACGTATTCGTCTGTATGACTCACAAAGAAGACATGGTGACTGGCAGAGAATATAGAAATGTAGAAAGTTCTGATTATGTTTATGACACAGGTGCAGACCTGTCGTTCAAACTAGATTTATGTCACGCGAGAAAATGCAAGCAGGACATATTATTAGCTGCTTGTGAGCATGGTAGTCCTACTTCGGGGTCAAATAAATATAAGGAAGCTAATCACAATAGAAATTGTGGAGAGGACGACCCGAGCCCACAACTGAAAAGCATGTTGGAGTGCACAAGATTGAAGACAGGTGTGTATCTGAAAGCTGTGAGAAATCTGGTCGAGGATGTCACAATATTTTCGAATGAAACACGATACAAAAATTTTCATCAATGTTATGGACTCGGAGACTTGCGCGTACAGCATAAGTTTATTGTCCATTTCATTGACTGTACCCGATACAAAAATGGGCAAGTGTGATCATGCCAACAGAAGACCAAAAACTATTGCTAAACTGTGGATGAAATACTCCTCAAGGTATCCAAAGGATGTTCTTCAAAATTCAAGGAATTCCTGAGAATGCTGCAAGGACCGTAATCTATAAGACTACATCAGCTGAGGCTATTGAAGCAGCAACGTTTGGTCTTTAACGGGTCGTTTACCTTTCAATATCAAAAGAAAGCTTCTTGTTTTACAAGAGAAGACTGCCAAACTATAATCTGACCTTTTACAGTTTAGCAGACAAAAACTGTCCGTGTTTCATTTGGCGTGGGCGCTCTGAAATCGTTACTGCTGTATGCAAAGCCCTGAAGTTCAATGGCAGCACAAGAAAATATGGGAAGTCCATCTCTGTACTGACAGCTGCTCTGAGCAAAATGAAATTCAGTCATGCCAACGATTATGTCGTAGACTGTCATCACATCTGATAGCATCAAACAGATTCCTCTCAAATTCTTCGAAACAATTCATAGGCAAAACTAATGCAACTCAACGCACGATACAATAAGGAAGGCAGTGACAACGGCGGGGGGCGTTTTTGTTCCGACCGAACTGTCAACGATCATAAAACTTGCAAGAGCAAAACACCCATAATATGTGGTCCCATTAGAACATGGAGATTTCTTGGACTTCAAGAAACTATCAGTGGATTTGTGAATGTTCGGAAGGATTCGAAAGCTGAGAAAATTGTAAACTGGAGTAATGCTATGAAACTGAGGGTCAACAAAGACTATTCAGTCACTGTTTTCTACAACAACAACAACAACAACAACAAAAAACATCCACGCTGACCAATCATGCAAAACAAATATTTTAAAGTGATAAAGAAATCAAGCCAAAGACTTTTTATCTTTATTGAACCATGAACGGCCGAGTGCTACGACTTGATTTTTTATTGTGCTAAGGGGATACACCCCTCATCAGATTGGGGGAATAAACAAGGGTTTTTCTTTCTCTTTGCATATTAAACTTTGTTTTTCACTGTGTTTTGTTTGTTTTTAATACCTAGTGTTTTTCATTTTTAGTTTTTTCTCAAGATCATTCTAATCTTTCTAACCTTTCTTTGTTGTTGTTTCTCGCTTCCCCCAAAGAGGTGGGGCTTGGCATCTTGAGTTAATAAACCAATATTTCCCCAATATTTTACTACCATTCAACTTGGCGTATTGTGAATTTTGTGATTTTACGGTCACAATTATGTTCTCACAAATAGGTGTATGACATATTGTAGGTCAGTTTTCAAAATTTGTAGACACAATATCATAAATCAGTGTACTCTGTAATAAACCAGTACCCGTGCTATCTCTTGCTAAAAATTTGAAAGAAACAGCGAACAGATTTGTCATTGTAAGAACTTATTAAGTGCCAACAATTTTTTAAACGATCAGCCCATTTGTGAGATGGACGACGGTGTACTGTCCCTGTGGTACAATTTTAAAGTCATTTTATAGATATATATGGGTGTGCAATGTCAGAACTCGAGTAGAGGCTTCGTTGCTATTGTAAAACTTGGGATATTAAAATCTTACTTTGGGCCGGAAATTGCACCAATAATCCAGTTGTTTTACCTTCGAAAAGACGGATTCTATTTTAAACGAGTACTTTTTTCATTCCCGGTGTATGAGAGAATTTAAAAAAAAACAACTAACACCCCCCCCCCTACAAACATGTATACATGTACCTGATTCTCGTAAGTAAGATATTTTAATTTTATAGGAACAAAATAACAGCCAGTTAGTAAGTGTGAGGTAAGTGTTACAACGTGTCTCTTGCTCAGTCAAATTATACAGTTGTTTTCGGATTTACGGATATACATTATACATTCTTGTCCGAAGACTCAAATTGGTACTGTGGTAAAGGATTTCTAACTGGAACAGCTCTACACAGACAGATTCGAACACACGGTTTAGTTAAATGTCTTCCCAGGTAGAAAGTATGAGAAACATGTTTTGGTGTTATTGCGTTTTTAAAAAAATTCAATGCTACTTTTCAGGAATAAATGCTCTGGCAGCAAATACTGTTGAGGATATTTTGGGACAGCCCCTCAGCTCGGTCAAAGAAGGAACGGCAACTTTCATCACCAAAATCGCTGTGCTCATCCATGGCGCAGTCATTGTCGGACTTGCTTACGGAGCACAGTACCTCCAGGGTCCTGTAACCCAAATGGGGGGAACTGTATTCGGAGCCTGCGGAAGTCCCGTCTTGGGCATCTTCCTCATGGGCGCCAGCATACCCTGGGCCAACAAATACGGTGCCTTAGTAGGCGCCATATCCTCTCTGTCCTTTAACCTCTGGTTGAGCATCGGTAACCGGTTGTATGGTAGGAAACTGAGAACATTTGATCCTGTACCTACAGATATGTGCTCAAGTAACTACACAACTTTACCTACTTATCCAACTATTGCAGAAAGTTTCGGAAATAACTCTTACATAAACAATTCCTTCATTCGTCATGATATTTTGAGTACTGCCCTGGAAGTGACGTCTCCTGTAATTTCAGATAGCATTGACGAAAGCGCCTATGAGTACGGTTTTTTTCTATATGACATTTCCTATGAATGGTACAGTCTACTTGGCACAATTGTATGTGTAAGTACTGGCCTGTTGGTCAGTTACGTAACCCGCTCTCAGTCTTCTACTTCCACTGATCCTGCACTTATCTTTCCCTTTCTCCGAAAATTCTGGGGCATGGAAGAGCATCCACCTACCATGATGCATCCAGGGGAGTTGGAACTGGAAATTATGGCCAACGATCAAAAGACTGAAAATGGCAACGATGTAATGAAGGACAAGGAACGCCTTATGTCTCAGACATGATAGTTTCTCCCTCTATCGATGGATAGTCCATCCAATATTGTTGTACTGGTACAGAGGAGAATATGATTATTACTATCTCATTTTCAGTTAGTACGCTTCTGGTAACAATAGTGAGTTTCAGAAATGTTAGAGTCGACGTGGTGCACTAGTTTATGAAACATGTATGACTGGAGAAATTGACATGTGTGTCTGCGTGGAAGTTGCTTTCGTACAGGCCGAGATGTTCAAAATATCTCCTTGGGGTTGGCTGGAGTCGCCTGTTATGTTGTCTCTCCTTTCTACTTTATTATTCGTTTGTTCATTGTTTCATGTTGCCAGTGGAATACACCCTAACTCATCAGAAAACCTAAGATTAGTCCAAGATTGTATTTACTTTATATTTATGCATGTTTTCAAGCAATCAAACAGTGAAAGAGGAGAACAGGTTATTAAAGCTGTCGTTCCAGCTCTCCTTTTGATTGTTTTGCCTAGACAAAACTAATAGATTTAGGGGATCTACAGGTACCCAATTCTTCACTTGCAGGTATGGATAAAATCGATAAACCGTTCATATATGTCTTAAGCAAAAAAGTAAAAAGTCTCTAGAAAGAGAAAAACTGTTGTATCAATTGCACGTACTTCATGTAGATCTGTCTGAATTTCTTGCTTTTTTTTTCAATATTCTGAATTTTAATTTTGACCAAACATTTCTCCAGCCCATGGAACCGAATATAGATATAACTGAAACCTTTCAGATACTGGCTTAATACATTAACTGCACATTTATTGACCGACGATAAGCCAATTCACGAAGCGACACATCTCATAATGCAATGCCACTGCGAGTTTTGAGCAAGGGCGCTTAGGTGTTCTTTGATTTTTGTATCATATCCTTTCTAAGATTTTTCTAAGTTTATGCTCTGAGGAACTGAAAAAAAAATTATATTATTGATGTATTAATTTTTTTTTTCTTAGATTATCCTTAATACTGTCCGTAATTGTGTTGCCGATAACAATGTCATCCTTTTGGACGGTAATGTGAATGATGCCAATATAGGGGGGGGGACAATTACAGTGAATTATAGGCGATTTCTAGGTTGAGAACCATGGATACAGGGTGCATGGAAGTGGAACCAAATTAGACAAAAGAATACTAATCCTCAGACAGGAAAAAGAGGCTAAAACAGCACCTGGGCATAGATGGCTGGTGCCTCTATAAATAAATTATTGATGGTCGGTCGGTCGGTCTAGAAACTTATTTTGAATCTTAAACCAGACTGAACATTGTTCAAGAAACTAAAAAGTATGGTTCTTGAAAATGAAACGAAACTAGAATTCACACTTTAAAGAAAGATTCAAAATACCTCTACAAGAGCAGCACTTCTAACTGACAGAGTAACCGTAAGAGAAACACCAAAGTCAAAATCAGACGTCTCTCGCAAATTTGTTGAGGAAGACCTGCATAATTTGATTGCTATTGTTTCCAAGAGACTACATTCACTCTCTAAACATATGATGGTCCATCTGTGTATTTTATATCTTATGGTCACCTAAAGATTTTGCTTGTCTTTGAAGCTTTTAATGTATTTGAGAGAGAGAATTAAACTTCGTTGAGAGAACCCCAACACCCCCTCCCCCCCGCAATTTTGATGTTTTGTATAACAGTATAACACATGAACACAAGATGTACGGAGCTTCACGAATGTCGATAGAAGGGATGCAAATCAGGAGGACCCAAGCAGTTGTTTTGTTGGTAAAGGCGATTGTGAAGTTACCTCTCTTGATGAAAGTGCAACATGGGTTAATGAAACAGTTGCGAGTGCTGTTGAACCCTTACCAAACCATCAGATTATTAATTATTAGAAATTTCTGCTTCATCGTGCCCCAACCCATGGCTCGAAGCCATAAGGACAAAAGTAAGATAAAGACGGGGAACTTTTAGTTGACACTCACGTAGAGGCGTTCGTTGGCAACGGCCGATCATTTTTCTTTGTGTGTGTGTACCGGTAATAAATCATTTGTGTTTTAACATTGAAATATTGACATCGGCAGTCTAGTGGTTAGGATGCCGGAATCGAAATTGTTAGGTTGCAGGTTTGGGTTCGAGGTTCAGACTCAACATTTAGTCCTCGGGAAAGGTACGGGTACTTTACACACATGTTCCTCACTTCATCTAATTGGGAATGGGTACCCAGCGAGAGACAGCGAAAGATCCTGTTAGTCAGTATGTTAGTGTTGTAACGCCTGCTAAATTGTTGCTGGCACTGTATGTTTTCTCAGGAAGTTGAGGCTGTTGCAGAATGCTATCAGGTCTTCTCGCGTAATAATAATATTATAATAGATTGTAAAACGCATAGAGCTTGCTGCTGATCGGGAATTTGCGCTGTGCGGATGCTCTTTATTATTATGATCTTATCATACAACCTGACGAAATGATGTTATTGCCGTTGGTATACATGGACGTTGTCTCCCTAATGAACAGCTACATCTGCGATTGCTACCTTTTGATTCATTTTCTCGTTAATTTAATCAGATATCTCCGCCATTAAGGTTGTGTTGAAGTGCATTCCTCGTTCAACAATAGGCAATAAATTGTAGTGGATATACTTACCATTCACGAGACAGCTTACTGAAAAGTTCAGTGATTTGGAGATTTCATAAGCGCGTTTTGTTCAGTAAATTTAAAAAAACCCACACACACACTTTTTTTGGGTTGTGAAGACAATTGAGGAATCCCCCCCCTTCCCACACTCACACACACACACACACACACACACA